TCGGTATCGGTGATCGGCCCTCATGGGTGATCGGTATCGGTCTCGGGAGGAAAAAACCTGATCGGCACATCTCTACTATTTATCTGACTCTACTATCAGGGGGCTGTGAGCAGCACATATATAATCATGATTGACAGAGCTAAGACCCGCCTCCTGGCTCTGACTGGTTGTTTGTAGCACTGAGGAAGCAGAGGAGTTTGATTTTTTTCACAGATTATCTGTCTCATGACACTGTGACAACATAGTGACAAACAGAAATTCTTGCGATAAACAATAATATTGTTCTTCTGAGACCATTTCCAGTAATATAATGTTGATGGCATAACAATGAAAGAACATCCTCTCAAAGTTCCATAATTTTTAAATTTTAATGAACATGTAACACTGGAACTGGAAGACATTTGAAATATCCAAAATAAGTAAACAACAGAAAAAACAATAAAGATTAATTGTGAACTCTCAGTAAACTAAATTGTACTTAAAAAAGGGTTAGTTAGAACAAAGCAGACTTTTGTCATCTAGTTTTTGGTAGAGCGAAAAGACAAAATGATAAATTGTGCAAATGAAAAGTATTGAGCTTGTTTTAATTTATCATGTGATTAATTTATTGCAACAGGCCTAGTTAGATACTGCAGCTTTAAGGTGTTTTACACACACTGCATCTAACCATGTATTTATGATGCATCACACATCATTTTACTTATCTAATCAGTAAAGAAGCAGCTTCTAGTGTTAGCTGACACTCGTTGCAGGCGGATCACTACAGAAGGTCAAGTAAACCCATCATAAATGTGATGCATTCGTCCCACTAACCTGGAGAAGCACTTATCTACTTACTTATTAATCTGACCACACTTTCAGGATCCTAAGGGAATAGCTGTGTGGCCAAATAGGCCTGGCTCAGTCAGTGACACTGGATCCATGACACACTCATACACACACAGGCAGCGAACAGCTGTTTGGGGAAGCCAGGGAGAGATGAATGTTAAATTTTCATACCCTGTGTGCAGCTGAGGACACACGAGTGCAAACACAAGAGAAAGCAACAACTGCTAAGGGTGTTTAATGCAAAATGCATAATACCAGTTAAAGAAATGGATAGAAAAGTTTAATTTCATGTTTTCTGTTTGCATTTTTCAGCTCAGGTTGTTACAGGCTTCAAACCACAGTAATTTTGAATAATGGGGCAGATTTCTGTACAGAAGCACAAATTTACATCAGGACTGCAAATTTAAATGATTCATAAAAATATACAACTGCAACAGCTCAATAAGCAAATTAGCTTCCGTATTGCTTTTGGTTCTTTGACAATGCATGTTAGTTGTTTTTTGTTCTTATCACTGTTGCCTCATTTCTGAACGGGCGTATTCGATTTCTTTTAAAAGCTAATGTTTATTTTGGCATCTGAAAGGAATGGATGCCACACCCCTCTCAGAAAACCTGCTCAAGGAGTTCCCTGTGCTGCTGAAAGTTTCAGGATGACATTTCCTTAGGCAGTGGGAATATTCCTGATGAACCCGGACTTTACATGGAGGCGTGGACATGTCTCCTGTCCTGCAGCTGTTTCAGTTTGTCAGTTTCGGGGTGGAACCTGCAACTGACCTTGTTTTTCAGACTCGAAAAAGTGCACCAAAGCACAAACTGGTAGTTTATAGAACAAAAATTATAGTTTTAATGCATAGTGTAGATAAAATTGATTTTTCCCTAATTACCAGGAAAAACTGTACCAATTCCTCCAAAATACAGAATTGGCATATGCAATTTTTAGCCTGAGAAAAATGTTGGGTTTCTAAATAGAAATGCTGAAACTGGTATAGAAAGATGATATTCCTAAAATTTTAAGCCAAATCGTTTTTGGTATGCAACATTCCCCCTTATTAGTCCTATAAAGGGTAACTTAAAACTATCTTAAAGTATTTTAAACACATATAACACAAACTCATTCTGTACAGATCAATAATAAAATATGATGCAGAGTTTTGCTTTTGTGAATTCATGTCAATTTTATTTAGAGTAAAGGAGACCGTCTTCCTCCTCTGTGGCCTACAGCCTGGACATGGAGTTCTACAGAGTCATGCACATTCATCTGAAAATGCTGCCAATATTGCAATTATCCACTGAATAGATTGGAGAAATGGCAGGATGTGACGGATCATCATTTTGCAAATAGTCTGCAGATCCTGGAGCCAAATGGAGTCCAACTCCAGTAAAAACCACTGTCCTACTTTTGTTGACCATCAACCCAACGTCTGCCAAAAACACAGGCCTCCACAACTACAAGAGGTGAATAATTCATCCCTAAGAGAAACTCAATCCTCTCTCTCATATCGAGGAGGTTCTGGAAATGACTGCAAATAAAACAAGTGGTGGTTTGAACCAGTAGGTGAACAGACCCAAAGCAATCCGAGTTTTATTGACTTTGCAGAAGCGGCTCGTTCTAATTGTAGGTTCGGACTCGCACGTGAGCAGGTGTAAACACTGACTTCTGGTAATTTCCCGCTAAGCTGCAGCTTTAAATAAGCGTTACATCACGCCTGCACCTTAAACACACACCGGTGTCTGTCTGATGTTCTGGATCGTGACTGGCAGCTTTGACCAACACAGATGATGATGTCTTAATTTTTAAGGGATTAAATAAAAGTAAGTGTGGCGTAAAAAATTAGGGGGTTATATCGCTGATGCTTTAAAAATAACACCCAGAAAGCTTTACATTTGCAAACAGGTGCAGTTTGCTACAAAATCTAAACTGAGTCAGCTATTGTAGCCATGACTACTCCTTGAAATATCTACGAACAATACACATGCTTACATAAACGCGTTTGGGGCTGATGCTCCGTTTACATACAACCCCCGAACTTTACATTCACCCACCACAATGCAATATTCATAAATATCTTGGTATACAGATGAGCATGAATGCCAGTCACAAAGAACGGGAGTGTTTTTTTTTTCCTCCAAGCTGTTACATTTAGCTAACAAGGCGCTTCTTCACGCTAATCAGGAGCTAACCCGAGCTAACGCTGCTAGCTGGAGTATCCTCTTACTGCTTACCTTCAGCGGCCACGCAGATGTACTTCTCATCGTCCCGTTAAGTTTTCCAGGAAGTCCCAGCTTGTATGTATCACATGTCTCCCTCAAAAATGTGAATTTTAACTTTTAAGCATATTCACGGCTTACACAGAGCACAGGACCCCGACCCGGACCACCACCGACAAAGTAATTCTCCACCACTTACAACAACAACGTCAAGCAACGGTTTGGGCCCGCCCACGTGAGCGGAGGAGCCAATCACGACGTCCTGCTGCTTTAATGGTGCAGACGCTAACCAATGAGCACGCCCAGAAGCTGACTGATTTTCCCCAGTAGAGTAAACACCAAATGAGAACAGAGGCTGCTGGAAGAGAAGGGGACCAGAGGGGTTAGTCCCAGTACCCTATAGGCGGCGTGGAGTTGACAAAAAGCAATGAATGAGATCATCCCGAATGATGTAAACGTTTCGTCACAGAGGTCGACTGATGTCTTTTTCCATGGCTGATGCCGATATTTATAGGGCACCTATTTGTTTTTCTTAAGCTATGCTGGTACACTTTTCCAGGAGTCAAATTCCCAGAATTTTCAATGATTTTACTCAACTTTTAAATATAGAACAAAAGTTATGGAAAAAAAATTCTGCAGTGGTCGAGATTTCAGTGTGTTAGACTTAAATAAATGGGTTATGTGGGGGCGTATTTATGAATGGATGGATGAAAACCAAACAAAAAGATGAACTGGGGGGCACAAAGAATGTCATTTTGATAAGGATGAAGACTGGATTTTAGGAAAGCCAGATGGGTGTAAAGTAATGATGGGTAGGTGAGGCGTCATGTTTCGACACATAGCAAAACTGTGTCGTACAAGTATATAATATACATGTATATGTGTATATGATACAATATACAATATAAGTATATTGTATATTGTATCATATACAATATACTTATTGTATATGATTTATAGACTTAAATCATATACAATAAGATTTAAGTCTTTGTATTTTATTGAATATTATATATTGTATTATGTCATATCTTCAGTTAAATTTAAAATATATTTGATATACAGTCAATAAATAATGTGAACATGTACCATAAAGTGAAAATTTAAATGAGTGTGTTTGGAATGAGGATGCATGGACTGTTTTTTTCCCCCCCCACAAATTTGTATTAAAAAAAAAGGTTTTACAACATTTTGTAATGTAGTCTGTTACGCTTTTTTGACAAAACTTCTCCTGCTGTAGAAAAAAATGAATTAAACACTACATTTACAGCGAACCCTTGTTTTTCTTAGGGGTTGCGTTCCGAAAATAACCCCTGATAGGCGAAATCCGTGAAGTAGTTACCTTTAGTTTTTACAATTTTTATACACCATAATTAAATACTCTACATTGAAACCAAAGAACAAAACCTGTTTTCAGGTCAGCGGATGTGCGTGTGCATCAATCGGGCCTTAATGTGATCCGGAGTCATGTTATTAAAACGTCTCCTCCAAGCTGTCCCGCGAGATTCACAGCTGTATCTACGGCAGAGCGATGGATCTCATCAAGCGAGCCTCCGGTCGGGTTTGTGCTGATTCTGGCCAGTTTTTTCCAGCAGGCATTCAAAGTTTCAGTTTCCATCTCCTGAATGGCCAATCTGTATTAAATACCGTAACTTTATTGGCACTCAGGTAGAGAAGAAGCGTGGAGAATGTTTTTACCAATCATACGGTGAATCAGGACGCAGAGCGCTGTGAAAAAAAAAAAAACTGCACAAAAAAAATCTACGAAGCAGCGATACCGTGAAAGGTGAACCGCGTTATAGCGAGGGATCACTGTATATGAAATAATTTATAAAAAGCACCTGAGTAATTTGTAGAATGGCTGCATATCTGAGTTTATCTGGGACTTCATTCTCATGCCTTACCTCAAATTGCCTCAACATTGAGGAGGTGGATTTATTTAAATAAGACAGTTTAGTCAAACATATGCGACACTTAACCTGCAGAACATAATATGAAAGTAAATTAAGAGTCAGTTTCAGCTGAATTTGGATTCAGATAGATTAAGTAGAAACTGACAAGAACCGGATGAAA